GTTGTCCTCTTTATTTCTTGGCACACCTTGGTCAGCACATCAAGGACAGCATCTGTTTGCTAAAATACTTCCATTGGTATTCCATCAATTTCTGATGCTTTATTTTTTTGCCAACTCTTTCAGAGCATCCTGAATTTTCCCCGTCATCATCATTGTCTCTTGATCATATGTTGTTTCTTCAAATTCTTCTGCGTCAGCCACTTCTTTTTTGTACATGACTCTGTATATTCCTTCTATCTTCTTTTAATGCTTCCTGAATCATTCAATATTCTGCCTATAACACCCTTAAGTATTGCACCTCATGGCTTGAATTTGTTCTTTAGTTTCTTCAGCTTAAGAAATGCCAAGTGAGTTCAGCTCTTTTGATTTTCCAACTCAGGCTCCTTTAACATGTAGCCAAGATGTGAAAGTTGGGAACCAGTAAGAAGGATCAGTAGTTGGAAAATATGGACTTGGTGACAGAAATGAGGCTGGGGATAGAATGATAGAATTCTGCACAATGAATCATTTATTCATAGCAAATACCTTTTATAAGAAACATAAACACAGGCTATACACATGGATTTCACCTGATGGGATGCACAGGAATAAGATCGATTACATCTGTGGAAGGAATCATTGGTGAAGTTCAGTATCAGTAGTGAAAAGTAGGCCAGGTGCTAATTATGGAACAGACCATCAACTACTCAAATGCAAGTTCAAATTAAAGCCAAAGAAGGTTAAATCATATCCATAGGAATCAAAATTTATCTTGAATCTATCCCCCTGAATTTAAAAACTTAGGAACAGGTTTGAGGCCTTGAACACTAATGAATGAAGACCAGATGAGCTGTCGGAAGATAACAAGAACATAGTTCATGAAGAATGCAAAAGATCATTATAAGAAGGAAGAAGAATACCAAAATGGATGTCAGAAGAGACTGTGAATATTGCACTAGAGCACCGAGAAGCCAAAGCAAAGAGAAGAAATCAAGAAGTTACAGAGCTGAATAGAAGAATAGATTTGATGAGTAGATGTGCTTATTGCCCTTCTCTTGCCCACTTCTCTGGCCTTTCTTAGCCTTTAGCATCATAGTCTATGTGGGAATTCCCCTAGAGGGTCGGGCTCCAGGACAGTGGTAGACTAAGGCTTACTTATTCATTGTTGTTGTTTGATGCCGTCGAGTCGTAGACAATTCATAGCGACCCTATGAACGAACAGTCTGACCACTGTTCGTACATAGAGTTTCCGGAGGCAAGCCATTTCAGAAGTGGATGCTGCTCCTGCTTCAAGGCTTGATTTAATCGGGAAGCTCCAGCCAACACTGTCCACCATGGGTACCCATTACCACGATTGGCACATCACTGTCACAGTCTTCAGCATCAGGGCAACCACAAGTTACCTCTGTACAGCAACGCACAGACCAGTGCTATACCACCTAGATGAATGTTTGACAGGAAGACAATTTGAACCTGACTGAGGGCCACAGATGAAAATCACCCACCTTCAGCTTGGTAGCATAGCTTCCTTTCCACTAGGCCAACATAGCTCTCTCTTGGTCGTCATGATAAATAATTATTATGAGCACCTGTCCTGTGTCAGGCATGCTCCACAGGGTATCTTCCCATGACAGCTCTGTGAGGTGATGGTGTTAGGTGTCATCAAGTCAGCTCTGACTCAGAAGCCCTGACAGATGAAACTTTGCCTGACCTTGCCCCATCCTCATAATCTCAACTCTGCCCAAGTTCATTGTTGTAGTCACTGTGCTGATCTATCACACTGAGGGCCTGCTTTTCTTTCACTGATCCTCCACCTTTCCAAGCATAATGCCCTGCTCCAAGGACTGGTTACTCCAGACAACACACCCAAAGTATATGAGATGAAGTCACAAATCTTTGCTGCTAAGGCAAACCATGACTGCACTTCTGCCAAGGTAGATATGTTTGTTCTTTTGGCAATCCGTGGTACAGTATTCTTTGCTGGCACCATTATTCAAAGGCATCAGTTATTCTTCTGTCTTCTGTTTTCACTGTCCAACTTTCATATACATGAAGCAGCTGAAAATACCATGGCTTGGGTCAGGTACATCTTAGTCTTCCAACTGACATTTTTATATATAAAGCAGATATTATTATTATTTATTATTATTATTATCCCCTCATTCTACTAAAGAGTTTAAAACAATTTATCTAATCATCAGTCTAAGAAATGACAGAGGTAGCATCTAAACCTGATATCCAGTAAGACTTACATGTTTAGATAAAACCTGAAATTCCTGTTGCTAAAACTGGCTTTTTCTTGAGCACTGTACTGTATATATATCAAGATCATGATAACTTACTATTATTTCATTTTTCTTTCCCCCTATTCTACACTTTGAAAACATGGATTTGATCCATATTTCCTAATATACAGTTCACAAAGTTCCCAGTGTGTTTTCAGACCCTCATCAGATGTTAACAAAGAAGTCTTTACCATCAAAAGAACAAGAAGCCCTTTCACTATAATGAGACAATGTCTGAAATAGTGAAGGTGCTGTGGGAAAAATTCTTGTGGAACTGAATGTTGAGGTATAGCTGGTCTTGGAATCTGGCAGAGGGGTGAGGGAACCAGATCTTGCTTGGTAGAAAAATGAGGTGGAGCATAAAATGCTCTTTGTATGCTACTAACGGGCTCTGGAGCAGCTGTGTTGCCGTGAATGTCTTCCACAGTTCTGAAAAGAAGTACTGCTCTGGCACTGGGTGGCCCTCATTTTCCGAGGCTCACGGTACATCTGGCTCTGATGAAAGTAACACAGGGATCCTGAGACGTCTGGACACCTCATTAGGATTGGCTCGCACAGAGGTTGTCTGCAAGCAGGTAGGTCTTTTTGTTTCCTCTAAGGCTACCTCAGGTGTCACAAAGAACTCTTTTATCCTGGGTATATCCAGTGTTATTCCATAGGAGTACATTTGTCATTAAAACGCATTGCATTTCTATTCATGCTGATAATATCCCCTTCTCTCCCATAATTCAGAACACTGGAGATAAGAGGAAAAAGGCTTCCTGAGCCCCTCTAGCTTTGTATGAAGATGGAAACAGCTAGGGTCTGAAAGAGAGAGTTGGCCTGCCACATTCTTGTAAGCAGAGATACGTAGTAGGAAGGCCTGAAATGGTTAGTTATCAATCCAACCTCTTCCTCAGTCTGAAGTATCTTCCTGAAAACCAGCATTTCCTTCTGTGAAAGAGTTAAATTCAGATTGCAGATTTACTTTAGATAGTCTTTGGTGTGCAAATTTTTTTAGCTCAATTAGTTGTGGTCAATTCCAACTCATCACAACCCCATGTGTGTCAGAATAGAATCTGCAATCTGAATTTAACTCTTTCACAGAAGGAAATGCTGGTTTTCAGGAAGATACTTCAGACTGAGGAAGAGATTGGATTGATAAACAACCATTTCAGGCCGTATCTCTGCTTACAAGAATGTGGCAGGCCAACTCTCTCCTTCAGACCCTAGCTGTTTCCATCTTCATACAAAGCTAGAGGGGCTCAGGAAGCCTTTTTCCTCTTATCTCCAGTGTTCTGAATTATTGGGAGAGAAGGGGATATACACTTTTCACTGGATGAACGTTTTTCAGAATTAGGGCACCAGGTCTTGCTTCCAAGACAGTGGCCATAAATTCAGACTTCTAACCTACCAATTAGTCGCTGAGTATGTTAACTATCTGCATCACCTAGGGACTCCTGACTCATGAGTTTTGCAGAACACCAGAAGCAAGCACAGCATCAGCGGCAAGGTATAGTCTTGTCAACCAAAAAAATGTAACACCCTAAGTACAACAACTATTATTCTAAGTATTTACTTCATACCCCAAAACTGTCTAGTGCTTTACATGCATTATGTCAATTAATTATTACAGCAGCCCTATTCTGTAGATAAAATTCTTTCCTCCATGTTACAGATGAGTAAACAAAGACCTAAGGTAAATAACTTGTTCACATACTCACTTGTGGAGTCATTTAGTGCTATGAGACTCAGCATCCTTCCTTCATCTAATCACATTCTGTCATGATGGATTATCTTCTCACAGATGTCAAACACTAGGCCAAGATGGCCACGTGAACTTCATGTGTCCTATTTTATGCTTTGCTTCATTTGCGGAACTGACCGAGTTTCTCTCCTTTTCAGTGTGAAGCTCATCTTGGTCATGTGTTTCCTGATGGACCTGGGCCCACTGGTCAGAGGTTTTGTATCAACAGTGTGGCCCTGAAGTTTAAACCAAGTAAACACTGATTTTCTCAGGAGCCCCTTCCCCTTAAAACCCTTTTATTTACATCCTCAATTTTCAATGAATAGTAATGGTGGCCTACTGGCAAGAAGCTGCACTGCAATCCCCAAAGCAATTGGTTTGAGTTCACCATCTGCTCCACAGGATAAGGATGGGCAGTCTCCTCCTGTGTGATTAAGTGCCTCTGAGAATCTGCCAGAGGGTCTGTGATGGGTCCGTTCCAACTCGACAGTACAAAACAAGAGCAACTATAAAATAAGGCTAAACTTGCTGTTGGCACCAGAAGAGAAAGTGGGTTTTGGGGTTTCTTTCCTCTCTAGAGTTGCAGTGGGAGGAATATTGCCCCCTAAAGATGTTATGCACTACATCCCAGAACCTGACCTTACTTGGCAAAGGACCTGTGCAGTGTGTTTAAGATGACAGAGTTCAAGATGGTCAGATTATCTTGAACTGTCTGGGTGGGCCAGAACAGAGTAAAGTCAGAGAAAGATGTCAGAAAGATATGTGATGATGAAAGAAAAGTCATTGGTTTTGAAGAGGTTTCAGGAAAGTGACTAGAGAATCAAAGAGATTTAAGAAGATGGAAAAGCATGAAATGGGTTTTCTCCTAAAGCTTCTAGAAGGAAATGCAGTCCTGCCAGCACCTTGATTTAACCCAGGGAGATCCATATCAGGCCCCTGACCTACAGAACTATAAAATAATAAATGTATTGTTTTCAGCCACTAAGTTTGTGCAAATGTGTTTCAATTAACAGTAAATAGTAAAGAGAGTCTTGACTCTTTAGTTCTGACTAGCTCAGCTCTCTGCTGCCTACTGAGATTATTTCTCTTTGTGCCTAGTTTTTCTAATTGTCATGGATGACAGTGCTGATGTGCTAGTTGTTATTTTACTGCTCTTATGTTGTTGTTGTTGTTATGTGCCATCAAGTCACGCATAACTCATAGCGACCTTGTGTACTATTGGTCTGAAACCTGCCCTATCATGAGCCAGTCTCACTGACTCCAACACACCTATTCCCATTACCCCAGTTATCATGTCCAATCCATCTCATCTGGAGTCTTCCTCTCCTGTTCTGTCCTTTCACCCTTCCAAGCATGATGTCCTTCTCCAAGGACTGATCTTCCAGGCACCCCTGGCCATGTGCACAAAGTACGTAAGACAGAGCTTCAAACTCCTTGTCTCCAAGGAGAAACTTGGTTTCACCCTCTCCAAGACAGACCTGTTTGCCCTTATACTTCTCTCCAGCACCACAACACAATGGCATAAATTCTTCTGTCATCCTTAGTCACTGTCCAGCACTCTGATGCATAGTACGTAATTGTGAAGACCATGGCCTGAATCAGCCACACCTTAGTCTCTAGATTGACTTCAGTACTCCTCTGCACTCTGGAGAAGTCCCTGATAACAGACTTCCCCAATGCGATTCATCTTTTGATTTCCTAACTGCTGGTGCCAAGAGAATTGATTGTGGAATTCAGCAAGATGAAATTTTTATCAACCTCCATCTCTTCCCCCGCCATTATGAAGCTGCCAATTGGCCCAGTGGTGAGAATCTTTATCTTCTTGATGTTTATCTTCAATCCATATTGAATACTACAGTCTTCAACCACGTCCAGCAAATGCTTCAATTTTGGCAAAGCAAGGTTTTATCATCAGCATCGTACAGGTTGTTGATCAGTCTTCCTCCAAACCTGATGCCACATTCCTCATAAAGTTCAGCCTCTCAAATGATCTGTTCTGCATATAAAATGAAAAGGTAGGGAGACAGGGATCTATCCTTGACACACTCCATTCCTAATTTTGAACAAGGCAGTGTTTCCTTGCTCTGTTCTGATGATTTTCTCCTGGTCCAAATATAGGTTTTCCATGAACACAATCAAGTGTTCTGGGATTCCCGTTCTTCTCAAGGTTATCCACAATTTTTTGTGGTTTACACAGTCAAATGCCTTTGCATAGTCAGTGAAACACAGACATTTCTTTGGTACTCTGTGCTTTCATCCAAGATCCATCTGACATTGGTGATAATGTCTCTAGTGCAAGGGCCTCTTCTAAATCCAGCTAGTATTTCTGATAGGTCTCCGTTAATGTACTGTTCCAGTCAATTTTTTTATAATCAACATGATTTGGCTAGCAACTGATATTAGTGATATTGTTCAATAATTTCCAAACTCCATTGGATCACCTTTTTTTGGAATAGGCATAAATATGGATTTCTTCCAGTTAGTTCATCAGGTATTTGTCCTCCATATTTCTTGGTACCACTTGGTAAGCACGTCCAGAGCACCACCTGTTTGCTGAAATATGTCAGCTGACATTCCATTAATACCTAGGGCCTTGTTTTTTGCCAATTCCTTCAGAGCACCTTGAACTTCCTCTTTCATCACCATTGCCTCTTGATTATATGTAGTTTCATCAAATTCTTCTGTGTCAGCCAATTCTTGATACAGTGGCTCTGTATACTTCCTCCATCTTCTTTTAATGCTTCCTGAATCATTTAATATTCTTCTCAGAGCATCCTGAACTGTTCAACCTGAGTCCTGAATTTGTTCTTCAGGTCCTTCAGCTTAAGAAATGTCATGCGAGTTTGGCCCTGTTGATCTTCTGACTTCAGTTCTGTACACATTTCATTATAACACTTTGCATTGTCTTCCTTAGACATTTAGGGTAGAATTATAAGAACTTAGTGATGATTTGATTTGGAGATGGGACAAGCCTAAAGTTTGTAGACCTGCTTATTGAGAGGGTGTGATGCTCTATATTAAGGTATAAAAGCAAGAAGTGATGAGTATCTGGGACAGAATGAAGAATCAAAATATAACAAATGTGAAACGGTGGCTGGGCATTGAGAAGAAATTCTTAAAGAATAGGTGGATATGATAAGTTATATGTAGTTGCATAGGAAAAGCAAAGGGAGTGGTGTTGTTGCTAGGTGCTATGAGGTTGCCTGTAACCCACAGCAACTCTGTGAACCTTGCCCTATCCTGCACCATCCTCACAATCTCTGCCACGCTCAAGCCTATCGTGACAGTCCTCATGTCAACCCACCGCATGGAGCTTCTTCCTCTCTTTGCAGACCCTCTACCTTTCCCAGCATGGTGTCTCTCTCCAGGAATGATTCCTTCTGAAAATACACCCAAAGTAAGTGAGATAAAGTTGCACCATGGCTACCTTTCAGGAGCACTCTCACTGTACTTCCTTCAAGACAGATTTGTCTGTTCTTTTGGTAAGGCCATAGGATATTCAATGCACTTTGCAAATACTATAATTCAAAGGCACCAATTTTTTCTTGGATTTTCCTCATTCATTGTCAGTTGAAAAATTATGGCTTTTATCTTTAGCATGCCTTAGTCTTGAAACCGACATTCTTGCTCTTTAGGATTCTGGAGAAGTTCTTGACAGGAGATTTCCCCAATGTGACACGTTTTTTTGAGTTCTTGATTGTTGCTACAAGTGTTGGCTATTGTTGTTCTTGTTACTATTAGTTGCTGTCGAGTGACCCATAGTGACCCTATGAAAACAGATCTTAACCCTGTCCTATCCTATATCATCCTCACATTACCTGACACACTAGAGCCCTTTGCAACAGTCACTGTGTCAATCTACCTGGTTGAGGGTCTCATGACTATGAATGTTAATTGTAGATCCAAGAAAAATTACATTTTTTACAATTTCAGTTTTTTCTCCATGTATTATGATGTTATCTATTGGTCCAATGATGAGAATTTCCTTTTCTTAATGTTGATATGGAACTCATACTGAAGTGTATGACTTTGACTTTTTATAGTGTAAGTCTTTGACTTTTTATAAAAGTGCTTTAAATCTTTCTCATTTTCTGCAAGCAAGGTTGTATCCTCTATATAACACAGCCAGTTAATGAGTCTTCCTCCAATCCTGATGCCACATTTTTCTTCATATAGTGTAGTTTCTCTAATAATTTATTCAGTATGCAGATCAAATGGGTACAGAGTAAGAATACAACCGTAACAGTTATCTTTACTGATTTAAACCAGACAGTGTTTGTTTGTTGTTTAGATAACAGATTGACCTATGTTTAAGGTTCCCATGAGCAAAATTAAGTGTTATAGCATTCCCATTCTTATCAAAGTTAGCCATGATTTTTTATGATCCACACCATACTCAATACACAAGTAAATAACTTTCTATTATTCTCTGCTTTCAGCCAAGGTTCATCAAACACCAACAGTGTTATCTCTTGCACCCCTGCCTCTTCTGAATCAAGCTAAGTGCCTGGTAATTCCCTGTGAATTTACTATTCCAGCCATTTTTAAAATTACTTTTAAGCAAGATTTTACTTGCATGGGATTTTAATGGTATTGTTTGATAATTTTCACAATCTGTAGGATCATTTTCTTTTTAACATGGGTACAAAAATCAATCTCTTGCAGCAAACTAGCTGCTTTCCACATTTGTTGACAGAGACAAGAGTAGTCCAGGGTTGCCTCTGTTTCCTGAAATACCTCACTAAGTGTTTCATCAGTTCCAGGGCCTTATTTTTATGAATATCTTTAGTGAAGCTTGGACCTCTTTGCTCAATACTATTGGTTCTTGATCATATACTGCTTCCTGAGATGGTTTACTATTGACCAGTTCTTTTTGGTACAGTAACTTTGTTTATTCTTTACATTTTGTTGTTTCCAGCATCATTAAAGTTTTTTACCCATAAAATTCTTCAATGTTGGAGCCAAACACTTGAATTTGTTCTTTGGTTCTTTCAGCTCTAGAATTGCCGAGTGTGTTCTTGCCTTTCGTTTTCTAACTCCAGCTCCTTGCACATTTCATCATAATACTTTGTCTTCTTGACATGCTCTTTGAAATCTTCTGTTTAGCTCTTGCCTCAGCATTCTTTCTACTTCACTTGGCTTCTTTTTGTGTCAATCGAAGTTTCAGAGTCTCTTCAGACATCCTTTTCATCTTTTCTTTCATTCATATCTTTCTAATTACCTTTTGCTATTATCATAGAAGATGCCCTTCCACAACTCCTTT